GAGAGAGAGAGAGAGGTAGTCAATTGGGAAAAGGCTATGATGATGATGACGACGACCCTTAATCTTTAGAAGAAAATATAGGCATGGTGATTTGGTTATCACCAACCCAACAAGTGCAAGACTCTGAAACCTCAAGCCGATTATGATATGTTATATGATTTTAGTAATAAATACAATGATAAATTTATAGTCCCCCCATCTCCAACCAAGTACGTGCTCTCTAGAAATGTTGTGGGCAGTCCATATTGTACCGTGTCCATTGAAAATACATATCTATCCTAAATAATATATCTATCATCTTCATATCATAAATATAAAAATGATCACTTTTCCATGTACCTATGTGTGTGTGTATATATATATATATATATATATATATTAAAGATTTTTAACATTTAAAAAAAAAATTCAAGTAGATGAGTTCCCTCTAGGCTACTCAGACCGACTCCTTCATGAGTCCGATAAGTCAAGAGAGTTTTCAAAAGTTGACACTCAGAAAGCCCACTTGTCTTCTCTACTTCTGTTCCCCACTTAAAATTCTTCATATTTTACTGTGAATTGTTTATTATGAAATGCATCCATTTAAAAAGAAAACATTAGGAATAGCATTCAATATTCTTACTCTTCCTCACTGTTTCCCCCTTCCAGATATTTGTTCACCATTTCCCTCTTGTTTTGATGCCACACTCCTCTCTACTGTTAGCATGGCTTGGCAAAAGCAACAATGCATCGATTTTTTTTCTCATTTTCTTTGCTTCATTTCTTATCATCTGTCAATATGCAGATGATTCCCAAGTGCTTGTCAAGCTCAAGCAAGGTTTTATATTAGAACCAAAAAAATTTCATGTTTAAAGGCTTGAGGTACATGCAATTTGTACATAGAGTGACCTCACCTATAATGAAGATGCCCGAGTGGTTTCCCTCAATGTTTCCTTCCTCCCTCTCTATGGCTGCCACCTTAGTGACATTGGTCTCGTCAACAAACTCATCAATCTCACCCTTTTTTGACAGCAATCTCACCAAAAACACTCCCACCCAAAATTGGGAACCTCACTTCTCTCTTTTTTTTAAGAAGACCTCACTTCTCTCTGTTACCTGAACATCTCCAACAACTGTTTCTCTAGTGACTTTCTGGTGAACTTTTTGGAATTGCATGAGCTCAAGGTTCTTGACGCCTACAACAACAATTTCTCGGGCCCTCTTCCTCCCAAGCCGACTTTGCTCAAAACACTCTGTCACCTCCATCTTGGCGGAAACTACTTCAGCGATGACATTCCAACCAGTTCTTTAAGAATACAGAGCTTGGAGGTCACTCAATGAATAGTGATTTTCTGTACCCCAAGCTTTTAAGCATGAGGCTTTCTCTTGTTCTAATATCAAGCCATGCTAGACAAGCACTCAGGAATCATCTGCACATTGACAAATGATAAGAAATGAAGCAAATAACAGGGGAGAGAAAGAAAACCGACGCATTGTTGCATTAAGCTTTAAGTTGTAGAGAAAATTGTTCTTTTGTAATCAACTTCATCTTCTTGTCTCTTTCCTTTTGTCATAGCTAATTCTTTTGACTCTGAATAGTCTCACGGTCCTAGGCACAAGCAGAATGAAGTAGGATTTTGAGGATCCAAGTAAAGATATGTTTCCAAGGAACCTGTCCTCGGTGACAATTATGATGAGTCCAGCAATGAGGTTTCCATGGAGGAAACAATTTCCAAACACCGGCCACCACTATATACACATATCAATGTCTTTGTGCATTCCCTGACATCTCTTGAACAAGGATCCCAACTTCACGAATACCATATCTAACATAACAGAAACCCTGTTTTCTGAACCATGGATATTAGATATTTTAATCAATAATATCAAATCTAACATTATTAAGACCATATTCCCATACTTTGGGAACCTCCGATCATGATCCTAAAGGATCTTATTTTTCATCATGATAGAGCTTGTTCCCTAAGGGATTTGGATCAAGATCCCTATTGAATGAGATCTTAAATATTTGAGCAAGCTCCCTGAAATTAAGAACTGCATTCATTGGCTATCCTTGTTTGGCATCATAGGACCATGATCCTGGATCGGGACAATGGACTAGTCCACACAATCCTAGTATCTACGACCAAGACTAAGAATGGGCTCTCCATATTTACCGATAAAGGAAAGGACAACTTATATCTATACGCTTCCCATAATAGGGAAAATCCTCCTTACTACTATAAAAAAAGAACTACACAAAAAGCTCTCCATTAACAAGGGGGCCGTTCACGCTGACTCCAAACTAGCAAACAAGACACTAGTTTTGCCCTTTCAAAGAGACGATGAGTCAACAAATGAAACCATCATCCAGTTATTTTAAAGTTCATTACTTCTGGAAAAAAAAAGAAAAAACAAAAAGAACCACCCTTATTTCAATGTTCAAAACATATCATAGTATATAAAGTCAACATGTTAAAAAATATATATATATATCATAGTATTTCATTGTAGAAGATCCAAAATTGTCTACATTTTAACAATAGAAGTTAAGAACAACATTGGACTGTGAGTCAGGAGTCACAAGACCGAGAGCATTCTTGCAATATTCCAGAAAAAATGAAGTGTTCTCAATCACATGTGCCATGTCCGTAACTACACCAATTTTCTATGCTTGCTTTGACATTGTCACACCAATTGCTACCTCTGTAAAAGATTGGACAATCAACACACCATCCATGAGGTCTAGGTCCTTTGCAACAAGGAAGTCATTCACATTCAGCACTTGAAACGCCCCAAGGTTGAAACAATGACACTGTCAGTACGAGAGTATTATATTTCAGTCTTGGAGGGAAGATATCCATTCTAAAAGGTTTCCTAATTGACCCCATTAACCAGACAAATCGAATGACTTTCCACAATGACCATCTATTGTTCCCCTTGGAATCTACAAAAGTCCTTCCAAGTTCATGTAAGTGTCAATGAGGTTGAAATAGCTTCATTAATAGACTTCAATTACGATTGTAGGTATGGGGTGGATAATGTCCCATTCGAATGTTTGAATGCGGGGTTGAAGGTTGCATTTTTTTTTTTTGAGAGAATGAGGTTGAAGGTTGCGTTAACTCATAGTTGAAAATCAATACAAGTAAATTGCGAACAGACCAAAATATTTGTTGGTTGCAATAATAGCCACAAATTTTAAAATAACTGCATTTCATCAAATCTTATGCATCAAAGATTTCAGGAACATAGCCTATTTTTTCCTTTGTCATAAGCACTGATTTCCACAGGTAATTTTGAAGGTTTTTTGTTTCTAGAACTCCCTTCCATCTCTGACTTAATTGACATATGTATATGAAAAGTCCTGTCTACCTTCTTGAAGATTGACACTAGATTTTTGTGTTGTAGAATCCTAGTGGAAGTATATGAAATCTGCAAAAGCCCACTCTTTTTCTGAATGCAAGTTGACTAAAATCCGCAAGCACTTCCCCATTATGATATGGTTTGTTCACATTAACTACGAGAAAAACGGCACATTAACATTCCCTCAAAAAAATTGGCTCGCTAACTATGTATAAGTTTTCTTTTGTTTGGTCCTTTTTTCACGTTATTAGTTTTCCGCTATATTTGAAAAAGTGATTTATAATTATTTCTGTAGATGATTCTTAACTGGATCTTAGTTTTCTTTGTCATAAGCACACATCTAGTTTCATTTGCAAGGTAAATAGGTGGATAATTACGTGGTTAAATGTGTTTGAGGACGTAATTTTTTGAAGATGTTTTTAGTTTCAATTTTACCCAAGTATTCACATGCTATTAATTATTCAAAAAGAGTTTGGGATCTTACATCAAATGACCAAAAGGCCAAAGCATTTCATTTCACTAAAATGGAGTTTCTCCATTGTACCAAACCATATCTACGGATTCAAAATGTCACATTACAAGTGAACATCTAAAAGAAGCTCAAATAGTGCTTCCATGGCACAGCTCTATATTTTGTTCTAAAGCTCGAACATTGTTTTCCAATTCATTTTCAAGTCACAAAAAGGGGGAAAAAAAACTCAAATTAGAGCAAAAGATGGATTTATGCCGAAGAAATATAGTGATCAAAAGAGAAATGAAGCATGATACCTACATAAGAGTCCAAAAAGAAATGATTTCCTTTTCCTAAAAAGAGAAGAAATAAACTAACGTTATGCATAGTAAAAAATGAATGAGAAACGGACTTTCACGAACATCTGATGCCAAAACACGATAATAGGTTTTGTTTTTCTTCAAATTACTTATGAAAATAATGGTTTCTTTGAACAAGTGACAAACAGTTACTGAATATTTCACATGTAAAGTTAATCAAAAAATATTTTCACAAAATGTGCATTTGTATCTCTTACCTCCCAAAAGAAAGCAACATTTATTGCTTAACATTAAGCATGGCCTTTGCTTCAATCTGTTCCTCCAAAAGCCCCTCACTCGTGTACTTGCTCAAAAGCTCCATCTTCTTCTTCTCCAAAACCATCCTCTCAATCTCCTTTTCATCAGGAAGAGGCACATGAACAATAAACTCCTTTTGCTCCTTACTCCTCTCTTTCTCTCTAGCCTTCCTCTCCTCCTCAACAATCTCCTCCTCCTCTTCAAACAAAATGGGTATCACATTAACAACTTCCCCACTCTTAACCGACCTCCTTGCCTCTCTCTTCACTGCTTCAATGCTCTCCCATTCTTTCAATGCATTCATCCTCATCTCCTCTTCAGCTGGTTTCTCAAGCTTCTCAAGAATCCCATCTTCGTCGTCTCGATACCCATAATAACTAGCGTCAATTCTCTTAAAAATTTCATATCTAGACCTCCTCTTCTTAGTTTCAGGTGGTTTCTCAAACAACTCTTTAACACCAGGCAAATGCTTTGCAGCTCCAAAATAACGATAACCAGCGCCTCTACCACTAGGGTTTGGAACATCAACAATGTTTCCTTCCAAATCAGTCATTTTAGCACCTGTTCTTGCATAATTGGGGCCACCAAGCTCAACGATTCTGTGTTCCCAATGGCCTTTCTCTCTGATCAATTTGTTGATTTCATCATTGAGGTCTCTTAATCTATGTTCTCCCAATCCAGGGTTTTGAATTTCCATGACTTTGCGACCGATTTCTCGAATTATCTGCTGCCTCCATTTGTCAGCTTCAGCAAGGTCTCGACACTCGGAGGCTAGGTAAGGGCGACGCTCTTTTGGTTTCTTCTTCTCTTCGTTCTTGAATGCGAGGAATCGATTGAGCATTGACTGAGCCTTTTCCTCATTTCGAGCCATCTTTTCTTTAGCTGAAGAGGGAAAAGGAAACCATAGCTTATCAGCTAAAAAGGGAAACCCTAGTTTATCAAGTCCTTTCAAGTATTATTCCTTATATTGACATGAAACCCAGTTTTTTATTATTATTATTTTGGCACTATGGCTATCCTACATTTTTCTATCACCCCCTTAACAGTCCCATGAAAACAACGCAAGAAGTTGGATGTCTCATTCCTATGCTAAAACTCTGCCAAAAACAATCTATGGACTTTAAGCAGGGTATGACATACCATGACAGTCCTTTGTCGGCATCGGACAGGCTGGGAAGTTAATAGGAAGTGTAGGAAATCGAAGTGCTAGCATTTTTACACAAACATCCTATCTCATAAAACCCAAACACTAATCAACACCATCTAACAGACTTAAGGGCTTGTTTCGGATAGTGTTACCTGGACACTTCCCCTCCCATTTGGTGTCGTGTGTCGACACTTAAACATGTGTCAACACACAGACACGTGGAGGACACTTAATTGAATATGTCTGCTGATGTCATCACATTTTGAGAACGTATTAACATTTTGTTTAAGTACCGTCCTATTTATAGCGCATAAGTCATGGTGCCCATGTGATAGCGCAAACAATTTTATCTCACATTGTGAAGTCCAAGGTTCCATTCGAGGTCAACCACTTTAACAAAAATAAATAAATGCAAGATGTAAAAAGAAGTTAGATGCTCGCGCGGCTTGAACCTTGATCATGCTGCACCTATACTCCCCCAACCACTCATTCACAAATCACAAGTACATGAAAAAGCTTACAAATATAAATATATCTTAAAAAAAACATTGTGTAAATCATACCATGGGATTGGAACCTCGTACATACGCATTAGAAGCGGTACAACCTACCAAAATGACACTCACAACTGATGTGATTAATGCCTATAATTAAATAATATAATTCATAAAGATATTTATTGTATGGACGTATCGAACAAGTACTAGCTTTTTTACCTCACATTCAAGACACTCCAATACATACTAGATACTAACACTTGTGCCGATATCCATGTAATATTGGTTTGGAAATACTCGTTATCAATTTCACTATTTCAATAACATTAATCCTAATAATGAATTATCTATTGCTTGACAGTGCCCATCCTAAAGTTATCTAAGATAAACTTATAGGCAGTTTTACATATAGTTTATTTATTTGGAAAATTGATATGCAAGCAATATCAGTTGACTTGTTAATGAATTTCAAAAGTTGTTTATAAAAAATTTGCATGATATAAGAAACCCAATTTTGCAAGCAATGTCAGTTAACTTGTTTATAAATTTGCAAAGATTTAGAGAAACAAAAAAAAAACAAAAAACCCCAAGTTTTCCAGGCAGAAAAGGGAAAATTATAAGCCAAAGTCAAGAAAAATATTCCAAGTGATAATTCATTTCTTGATATGAAGGGTTAGGGGAAGCCTAGTTTTGCAGGCATTCTCAGTGTAATTTGCAGAGATACAAAACCAAAGTTTCGCAGGTGAAAGGGGTGAGAAAAAACAAACGCTAGACTGAGAAATTCATTCCAATTTAAGTTCTTTTCTCAATATGAAAGGGGTGAGAAAAAACAAACCCTAGTTTGTTGGCAAGGTCAAAAAAATTGATTCAATTTACTTCACTTCTTGTTATGAAGATATAAAAGAACCCCCGTCGCAAGCAATAAAACACTCTAATTTCACAGGCACTACTATTCACTTACCTATTTTCCAGACCAAAAACAGTAACATATTACACAAAAGGTCAAATAAAAACATCAACTATCATACTGAAAAACAAAAGGAGTTAAAAGGGAGAAATTCTCAATAAGTAGACAACTTATGAATATTGTTTAGTAGCATGTGAGAAAGATCCATTTGAGTTTGTATGTATATAGTATATACAGAATAGATAGAAGAGAAAGCAAAAGCAAGGAGCACCTACCTCGTCTTGGCTCTGGTTCATAAAGTGAGGAGATTGTCAAACTCCTGAAGTTGAGGCGGGGATTTTAGAAAGAGACAGAGAGGCCAAATGTTAATCCTTGCTACTCAGACTAGAGACATCCTAAATGCAATTTGAGAGAGAGAGGGAGAGGTTGGGGAAAACACAGAGAGGAGCAAGCCTAGTCTCCAAATGGGGAATGTGCTACTCATGTAAGACTTAGGAACAGTATGTCCACGGCATGTGGTTCGTGACCATTATATACTAAGGGGAAACGTTTATATAAGATTGCAACTATACACTATTGAAGTAAAGTGCACCTTAGAAATCTGCTACAAGAGAGTGTTATAACGCTGGAGAATCCCCCCATCGATCATCTTGACCTCAAGATGTATGGATATGAAAAAGAAAAATAATTTCAAGTCTTAAAATTAGTGTATCTTATAACAACTTATTTGGACCGTCTACTTACAAGATTTTCAAGTGTTTATAAATCAAGATTGCAACTATACACTATTTGCACCTTAGAAATCTGCTACAAGAGAGTGTTATGACGCTGGAGAATTCCCCCATCGATCATCTTGACCTCAAGATGTATGGATATGAAAAAGAAAAAGAATTTCAAGTCCTAAAATTAGTGCATCTTGTAACAAGTTATTTGGACCATCTACTTACAAGATTTTTAAGCGTTTATAGATCAAATCGATCTATACCATTTTTAAGATAAAATAGATTTTCAAGCTATCATAAGGTTTTTGACACCAAAACTAAATCTCTTAAGAAAATTTTAGAGGTGCACCTTACTTCTATAGTATAAGGAATGCGCCTCATTCAAATCTTGCCCTTTACTAAAAGATATATTGTTATCTTAGGCAATTTAATTATTGTAAATCCATTTTAGATTAACTTGGTCAGCTCTTTCGATTCTTTTTTTTCCTCTTTTTTTTTTTTTGAAAGCTTAGCTCTTTGGGTTTCTCAGCAACTTTCACTTGCAAATTAGAGCCAAGAAATGGCAATGCTTTCTCCTTCGTATTAAATGCAATGAATATATCAAATCAAAACTCGAAAACCTAATATCTCTAAAAACAAAATGAAACAGCCTTGCTTATTTCCAAACAAAATTCCTTCCATTCAGCAAGTTCTCAAATCAAAACATCTCCAAAAATATCCATCCATTCAAACAAATTCCAAAAATCAAAACATCTCCAAAAAGTATCCACGATTCAAAATGTCTATAGCAAAGAAATTCATGCAAGGTTTCAAAAAACGCTAGGCGGCCCCGAGGCAGCTTGCTTGGAGCCCAGCGCCTAGACGGGGGCCCAGAACCTCAGGCGTCCTGTAGGTTTTTTCACTTTGGGGGTTGTCATATATTGAGGGTTTTTTTTTTTTCACTTCGAGGGTTAAAAATAGACCCCATAACGTTTTTATACAACCTTGGGGGTCAAGATAACCCCCTTTGCCCTTTTGGGAGACTTAAAAAAAACAACGAAAAAGACCTCACGGCCCTAGTTGCCCGCCCAAGTACATCCACCCATGTAGGGCCGCCTGAGTCTAAGCGTGCGAATTTTTGGTCCAGGCCGACTAGACGGGGCGCCTAGGAGCCAGGCGGACCATTTTTTAAAACATTGAACTCATGCATAAGTCACAAGAACAACCTCGGACTTCAAAAATACTGCAACTTTGTACTTCAAAGAAAATTCATCAATAAAACTTTACTGAATTCCTCAAATTAAAATATCTTATTAGAGCTCCAAAGGTCCAATTTTCTGACAAAGAGAGCATTCAAAGGTTTGTATCTCATGCAATACAATATAATGAGAAATATTGCGTAGGTTCCAAATAATTACGAGAAATAAAATTGCCGCATTCTGACTTTCCTCTTCAAGTGGAACTTGATCAATCCTGGATCTAATCTATTTCATTTTGATGCTTGAAAACGATTGTTTGAAACATCTGTTTCCTGTAAAATATATTTCTTAGGAAAATCTTTAAACAAAATAGATCTATGTTGTTTGGATATCCTATGGAAGAAACCTCGAAGATACATTTCTAACGGTTGGATCATTTGGAAGAAACATTTCTCAAATAAAGTATTAACATTAATTTTACCTGTAATTATCCTCAAAATTATTTATTAGGGTAAATTGCTCACAGTTTATCATAACATCTTAATGTAATTTATTTTTTTTTACTTTTTGGTTAATTTCTTTCAGTTGTTTTGTTTTCATTGTAATGTTTTTCCTTTTTTTAACTTGGACAAGTAGATTTTAGTGTATAGGCACAATCAGTGATTTAAAAAACGGATCGGTGCCCGGGAACAGGCACCCCAAAAAGCCATCCGGATCGGTGAATCGACGTTTCGGTTCGGGAATTAGCCGAATCGGCCGAATTAGGCCTAAAAAAATTTAAAAAAATATTATTAAAAATCATTATAAATGTTGTTTTTTAAGAATCCAATAAGAAATCAGGGTATCACATTAATAATTTTTACTTTTTTGAATCAATATGTGAATATTGAGATGTTCTTTCCCTGTATGAATATTCTCATCAAACATTTATTAAAACCTAACTACATACAATATTATACATTGAAATTAGAATTATTGGTTTGTATTTTATTATTTTATCATCATTTTACTATACAAATGAGAATAAATTTAAAATTTGTCTTATAATATCATCTAATTTAAAAAATCTAATTTACAACTGTAACAAAAACAATACATTGCATAATTTATAATGCAAATAAATTAATATCATTATAATTAGTATAATTATTAATTATAATATTATAATAAACATGATTCAAAAAACAAGGGTATGACCCTCACAAATAAATAAATCTAATGTACAATAATTAGTGTTGATAGAAATATAGAGATCGGTAACATAAACTTGCAATCATATTTTAATAAAGCTAAAAAAGTAAATAAAGAAATTCATCTTTGCAATGTGGGATAATTGATAAAGCAACTTGAAATAAATTCTAAAGTGGAATGAGCAAGTGTTATTTTTCTCTCTTAAAATATCCCACAAACTAATTTTTTTTTTTAATGTTC